TCCACATAGCAGAAAGCAAGGGTGAACCACACTCACCTTTTAAGCAAAGGAGTACGATAAGGAGACTGAATACAGAATTCACTGCAGATAACCTGTTACCTATGCACCTTTCAAAAATCACAAGGGAAATATTCTTCCTTTTCAATGTCTTCCATCCTTTTTTCAGAGATGCTTCCTGACACTAAATTTCTGCAAAAAATACAGACATGGTTGAAAGAAACACTACTTCAACGGAACTTCATTCATATTGTTTAGCATTGGACTCAAACACAGCTCTAAAATCTAGATTTCTATAATCTCCTCTCCAAAGGCTTGGGATATTGGCAAAAATGGGTTTGGTTTTCACAATTAATAAAGATTTGGAAGAAATCTGTTTCAAATTGTTCTCCTCAACAGACTTCATGGAGAAGGACTGGGATCTGAATTTGGATTCGAGTCCACTGCTGATACGAAGTATTTCAGTCCTCTGATCTACCTGCTATTAACTCAACATGCAATCTAATGTTTTACTCAGCATGAGGGGGTGTGACTTTCTGAAGGTGCATGCAGTAAACTGATTACATTCAATTAGATACCAATGAACATGCAGCCAAACACTGCTGTGTGACAAACGGTGCATGCAACATTATTCTAATTCAATGCATTGCATAACTTCACTCATGCATTCAACACAGTAGTGAAGGCTCATTACACAGGAACAGATTTGACAATAAGCATACAAACGTATGAACTGCAAACACTGCACATGTTGCAAAAGAATGTTACCTGATTTATTTATTTTTAATAAACAGCTGAGGGCACAAAGGGCCTGGCCACAGAAGCACAAAAGTGGGTCCTTCCTGTGACGATGATGGTAGGTTTCAGATGAACCTAGGGCCACGTGCCACCTGTGGTTAGCTCAGTAGTCTCCCCTGCTAGTCCTCCTGTTCTTCTGCTATGTTGAAAATGAAATGCTTCTGTTCGTCTTGCTGCCCAAAAAAGTCATCTTGACTTCACGTGTGTTACAAGAATTATCACTGGATCATTAATGATGCAATATGTGGATTCATCTGGCTTTTATTTATCCATGTGCATAACTGCTGACCCTTAGCTTGCGCATCCATTTATTTGCTCAGGAATTCACATGACAGTTCAGTCATTACACAAAAGAATAAATAAAATACAACTGATTAATACTAGTCTACTTCTCCTATTTCTGCAGTAGTGAAAGAATCTTTAGACTTCAAACTTGTCATAAGTTTATAAACTGTATGTAGCTGGTGTTTTTTCCTCAAATCAGATCCAAAATTAGGATAACAATACCTTCCGTCAGGCACCACAAGGTTGTTAAGATGTGATGAGTATGACAAGTGAAAGTGCTTACTCACTGCTTTTACATGAAGATAAATGTATTGCTGCGAAGTTTAACATGTTAACTTACAAAAAGTGAAAAAAGCAAAACAAAAATAAGTCACAGGTCAAGTACAACAGCATTAGATGGCACAGGTTGATTTTTCACATGACTCTGACAAGGAAGGAAAGACTGCTGACCAATCCAGTTCTTGGAGTTCAAGTCACAGTTCTTCATTTGTCACACTGGTCCCTGCAAACACACTGATGTATGTGCTCTCCTAATGTATTAATTATAACAGATAGGCTTTTCAAAGCCATCCAAAATAGCTGGATAAGCTTTTCCCATTACCTTCTTATTAAAAGTGGGTGCCTAACTCACTAAATAACTGGAAATCTTAGCTCAATTTTTAAGAAAATTCTAAATGTTTACCCAATGGTTTAAATGCCCTTTACAAGCCCTAATTCATTTAATCACACAGTTGTCCAAAATAATGCCCAATGTTTGCAGCAGAGCCAGAGACTACACATCTCACTCTCCCATGACTGAGCCATAGAATTTTTTTCTTCTAGGAATTGGTGCTGCTCATCGTATTTTGAGGTTTAGTTCCTCCTTGAGGCTAGCAGAGAGATAACGAAACTTATGCAATAACCAAAAGACAGAAAAAAGGACCACACAGGATTCCTAATGGCTGACTTCCTATGTTTGAGCTCTGCAATGCGGACGAAAAGCAAGGGTAAGAAACCAAGCAGGGACAGGGATGTGATGCAGTGCTAGAAAAGGAGTAAGTACTTTATATGTCTCAAGCACGATACATGCTTATTGGGAAGAGATTAATCCAGACTTCCACACTGAATCAGGTAACTTGGTCCATCTTTTCTAATTGTTTTTAATCGTACTTATAAATACTACATAATACCAGAAGCTATATTGGCCCATGGCAGAACACTTTCTTCTGTGACTGGTTTTGCAAGGTCTTGGAAAAAATTAGAGATTAAACAGGTGTGATGCATGCAGTAGGATCAGTTTATAAAGTTATGGGTCAGAAAGGGATGACAGCTGCCTTGACATCTGATTCTCCAGTTATGAGAAACAGCACAGAGAAGTTTATAAAGCCACACACAGAGAAATATTTTTGCTGTAGCTATGGTTCTAGGTTCCTCAGTTGGAGCAGTCACAGCTAACATTACTAGATTTACAGACCCAAGCCTCAGTCACACTCTATCATGAGCTGCCACATTACAAGGGCAGTTTTCCTACTGGTGGCAGGCTGCAGAGAAATCAGCAATGGGCAAACCTAAATATAAATGTATGACATTTATGGCAAATTCCCCTACATTGGTCAGTTTTAAGAGTCAGCTTGACAGGGTGCTGACTCAACTCATTTAAACTATACTTTTATGTTGAGAGGTTGGACTAGATGATCCTTGTGGTCCTTTCCAACCCGGTGTCCTATGATTATCTGATTCTATGACATAGTAGACATAAATGTAACTTTCAGGTGCTTTTATTTTACTTTTAATCAAAGGGCTGCACAGATCATTTGGTACCAGGTGTCTTCTTAAGAGGGAACTGATGCTTGTAATATCGGAACACCAGCCTTATTAAGTCAGTACATACCTTGAGGGCTATGTTATGTTACTTAACGCGCATAAGCAAGTTAATCAGTAAAGGTGAACTTTACTAATTTCCTAATAAAATTTTCTTAGTAAAGAATATGCTTGTGTGTAAAATGCTGTAAGACAAAGCATACTGATTCCTGTGGGTACTTAAAACTTAAGACATGGCATGGGGATTTCTAGAGCCAGATGAATTAATAAAATGCAGATTAAGATGCTAGATCCTGATTCAAAAGTCACCTAAAACCTCCTATTTTCAAAAAAAGTTTTAAATCAGGAACTACAGGATCAGAATGATGTTTTAATGAGTCTTAATTGTTTTATGAGAAACTGAAAGTTGCAAACGCAAAATAACAAGCAAAACAGGAAGATATGGCTTTCTGCTTGAAAAAAAATTCATGCTCTAGATGTGGTCCAAGGAAGATGAGCCAAGAAAATGCCCACCATATAGTCAAATATGCTACAACTTCAACAGAAAAAAACCATAATTCCAGGTCTGTTTCACAGTAAAAGCCAAGAATAATTTTTTTATTGAAAGAACTATAAGACAAAGATACTTTCTTTTTGCAGACCATATTGCTGTATATCAGCAAATATGCCTAAGTATTAATGTCAGAGTTGTTGTCTTTATACTAGACAATAAGAAAAGTGCAACACTATTCCAATGAAGACATATAGTGAAAGAGACTGTGCAGAAAAAGAAAGCCAAATTTGGTTCACTTTCAGGTATAGAATACAAAAACAGTAACTATCACAACTGTTTTTAAGCCAGTATCATTGAACTTTCAAGTGGTGACAAATGTGTCAACTACATTGGAACTACAGATCTGCTAGACAGGAAATAATTTTAAAAGGTCACTGGTGCAAATACCACAGAAATGTATATGATGAATTTTAAAAAAGTACAGTTGTAAAATTCTCAAATGCCTCCATAGTCTTCATTTCCTGAAAAACAAAATTCTGTCCTTGTGCTTTTATGCCCCCCATGAAGATATTATCTTGGCAAATTAATGATTAACACTTTGTGAGAACTCAAGGGTTGAATTCAAAGCTGCTGTATGCAAATGTAACTTGATGTCAATGCATATAGACCATACGATCAGTGTCCAACCATAAAAATAAGTATTTTTCCTCATTTAAAAAAATAAATACTTAGCTGTCTATGGTATGACAAATGGTTTATGAAAGGCTATCAGCAACTGTAAGATTCCTCATCATATCACTTTATATGTGTCTCTCTGGAAAGGATTACTTCATTATTTCGATACCAGAATTTGAAAACGTGGTCTCCAGTTGCTAGATGACATCAGTGCTACAGTCCCCTGCAATCAATGAGCTCAGTTTTTCCAGTGAAAATGCCTGCAAAACACTATTTCCTATGTTTCTCAGAAAATAGTTTCCTAGAAATAAAATGATTCATGGACATTTCTTAAGACAGTGCTGTACTTATGTACTGCTTTTACAAAAATACTGTCACAGATTAAAAAGAATTGTAAGAAGAACCCAGTACAAGCTTATTGTTTCTTACATAAAGTCTGGAAAATACAATATTCTTTCAGTTGTCTCTGGTATCATTGTGGTGACATATTTTCATTTATATCCTTTATATGACCAGTTTGTAATCTGACATATTTTCATAAGAATTTGCTATAAAAACCTAAAACATGAGGCTCCAAAACAGCCCCCTAGACACATTTTGACAAATGCATTGTAGATTTTAAGCATACTCTAATTTTTACTGTCTTAAACATCACAAAATTGGTACACAGATAAGTGCCTTATTTGCCATAACAAACAGGCAAAAATTTTCTAAATCAGTTCCCGGCACATCAGAAGACCATGAAGAAGATTTGAAATCTTGTAAATCCTTTAAGCTCCATTGGAGCTACATTAATACCCAGTGAGAGATTTAGCTGTAAAAGCAAAAGTCAAAAGTGGACTTACAGTATCCAAAAATTATTCTCTACATGTTTTGCCATCTTCCTGACCTTTCCACTTTGCGGACACAATTCAGAAGTTACTTTAAAAAACATACTTGGACAAAGTCTTACCTTGCAATCTGTGTTCTAGTATTGAAGTCAAGAGATCTCATTGAACGTAAGACTTCTATGCACCCCAAGTACTGTAAGGAAAAAGAAACAGTTGGAAAACATCCTATAATTATTCTTGAGTTCTAGGAGAAAATGCAGCTAATCATTAAAAGGTATTGTAGAACTCCTATTTTTACATTTGATTTATACTATGTGTCAGGTAGCTTTTTACGATTATGTTTTTGTATGTCACAGATTTGTTCCATAAGCGTTTTAGTTCATTTAAGTGTCAAGTTTGGTACAACATATTTTTTCAAGTTTAATCTAATCACTGTAATACACCTAGTTCATAATATGTTGCTGTAGTTTTTAATTTTTGTCTATCTTAATTGTTCCATTTTAGATATCAAACTAATCAAAGTGAAAAATAATATTAAGAATAAGCAATTGAAAGAGGATTCCTTAATAACCAGCTCAGGGATAGATGGGATTTAATACTTTCATTAATGACACTAGTATAAAGATATAGGAAAATGCTAAAAAAATATACTAATAACTCATGCTTGGAGATGGCTTCAGAAATGTAATTCAGGAGAGGAATGACATGAAGGTTAGCCAAAATTAGGAAAAGACCAGACTTATTGACCCAGATTTCTGCCCTGCATCTCCATCAAAAAGAGGGAGTACTGTTAGAAAATAAGGTAAAATGTAACAGTATTATAGGAGTAAGAAAAACTCAGATGAAACTTCTGGTCTTGCTTCCAGAAGTGGGCATAATTTGCATGACCTAGAGTCCACATGCAGCTACAGCTCTCTTCAGATATTGGATAGTGGCTACTAACCTTTGATTAAAGAATTACTACATTAGTAACTATCGTATCTAGAATTTCAGCAATGCTCTTTGTATAGAAACAAATATCACAAACTGTTTACAAGCTGAGGGAGTATTTAGTTTGTTTTCACTTGTCCATTATTATTATTATTTAATTTACTGCTATCAAATGTTATGAAGTCACTACAACACTGAATAAAATTAGAATATCAAGTGACTTACTCATTAAATTGCTTGAACTTGGATTATAACAGCCCACAGTTACTGGAAAGGGTTGTTTCAAGATCCATTTTTTAGAAATCTGCAATCTTATGTTTTTTGAAATCTTGTAAAATACCCATGGAAAGTACCTTGTCTATAAAGATCCCAGCATATTGAGCTTTCAAGCTAAGAGTCATACTCTTAGCTCTTTAGATTATAATCACTCCTCTATCAATACAAAATTAAGTAACCCTCGTATCTTATTACAGGTAGATTCCTTTTTTTTCAGATATACTTCTGTCTGAGTATACATATACACTTAAAATATCCATAACAATATTTTCTTGCTCTGATGCAGGAAGTTAAGCCTTTAACTCTATTTTTAAGTATTTCAGAGAGTGATTTGATTTGCTTGGAGATAAACTTCATTAAACAATTGCGATAATCAGCTAAAGTCAGTTAATTTTTGCCAATATACAGTAATGAAAAATGTTTTCCTGTACTCTTCTTGTGTCATCTTATTTTAGTTCTAGGATGCTTTTATAGGTAAATTTTACCAAATATTTATTTCATGTGAGACACTTTTATAATTAAATATGCTGTAAATGGTACAACTATTCAAAGGTATCCTGGTGATTTTTTTGATACTGAAATGCTTGATTTTCATTATTTCATCAATCCACTCATTTAGACTGCTCAATACTAAAGCACCCTTGGATTGCACTTGTCCCTCCTCTTATCTATATTTGCCACAAATCTTTTAAAGTGAAGTAACTGTACAATTTTACATTTTAGATGCAAACTCTGCAAGGTAATTGACAAATACATGCAGGCGTGCAAATACACAAACACATGTGGGCACAAGTCACTGTCAAAATAAACACACAAATTATTAGACAAATACCCATAAACATATTTAGAAGGCGTGCATTTAGACTCCACTGAGTAACACTACCTGATCTGCGTTAACAAAAATAGAGACAAAAACCAGACTGAAGGAAGGTCAGATGGAAAAGTTATCCTGTACTTCTTTTATGTATAGCACAGAGACAGCTGAACACAACATAGTAAGGCTTGCAATATTCCTGACTGATCAAGGCAAAGATTGCAACTGATTTTCTGGGATAAAAGATGTGAACACTTAATCATCACGGCATGTTTTCAAGTAACAAAATTACTATAAAAACCAACATTCAATAGGTCCAAAGGCCAACTACAGGGACATGTAACTCACCTACTGCTATGCTTCAATTATTTCCCAAGACCAACATTGCTCTCTAAAAATATCCATTTGAAGTACATCCTGACAAGGATCCACAGAAAGAAGACATACAACCAAGATAGCAAGTAAATAAATTATTCATTTGTTTCAACAAATAAATATCCTGATGAAAAAGAAATGCTATCTTTTCCTTTAGGCATTCCTTGAAACATTGAAAATATAGTTATAAAACAGTCTGCTTCTAAAATTCCACTTAATATATATTCAAACCAATCCAATACTGTGCACTGTGGTATTTATGAGCTCTCACTAGCATCCTCTTTCTCATTGCTCAGGAAACAAATACACTGAGATGCAGCCTACCTTGAAGTAGGAAGATTTGGGACTACCATTTCCAAGCTCTCTCAGAAAACGTTCTCCCTTCTGTTCACTTTCAGATATTTGAATGAGTTTCCAGCTTGTATACCTTCAATGAATGGTATAGTCCTATACTCTGAGGAAAAAGTCTTTCATATCAGTGCATACCTTCCCATTCAGAGGTTTTAGATACATAACTAGTACTTCGCATGCTGAACAGCACCCTGCAGGAAGCTGATGTAAATCTAAAAGAAGAGTGCCACATACTCCTGGGACTGTAATTCTCTCATTGCATACCATTCCAACATCCTTATTGGTTAGAATTTTTCCAGGTAAATGTGAAAGAAGGTCACATATCCTAAGTTTCCAGTTTATCCCATAGGTGGAGATTTTTTTCCATATTCCCCAAATTAGCTCTGCCTTTTCTATGACACAGTCAGAAAATTCTTGTTTAACAATTAAATTTTTTTTCTGCACCCTGTGTAAGAAAGGGTATTGAGTTCTCCCAACATCTGTCAGAAACAGTTCAATACATGAGCACTGAGTGTATTCATGTGCTTGGAGCAAAGAAAAAAGGTAAAGTCACTGTCAGAGATGCCTTTTCCCATGAACAACCTTGTTCGGTGTTTCCTAACAAGCTCACTCAAAACACCAAGTTACTGGAAAAAATCTTCCACTGTCTGGCTCAGAAGGTAGTAGTAACAATAGCAACGAATACTTTTATTAAAAAAGTAGCAAGATCTAGTCCCATGCAGCACTACAGTCCAACCTCAGAGTGACAAATGCTTGAATGCTTGAACGGCTTATGTTTAATGTCTAACAGCAGACAAGTGTCTGCCCAGAACACGGTTAGCATGAAGATCTGGCCATCACCTACTCTCAAATAAAACAAGGAGCTACTCTCTGAGTCTGAACTAAAACTGCAGGGGTACTCCTAGTAAACTAAGACAGACTGTTTTTAATCTGTGTAACCATATGACCATCATCAAATCTGAGTGGTTCACAACATTGCCGATTGTACATGCAACATGCAGAGCCTGATGCAAGTTATGTAAGAGATAACATGGTTATGTCAGCAAACAGATATGGACTTGCATTGTGAGTCAAAAATTATCCAATGCTTTCAAATGTCAACATGTCTGAAATCCGCACTAACATTGCATACATGCTGCTAATAGACTGGGGGCTCAAAAAATAGATTTAGATTTCCAGGGGTTTGGGTGGCATATGTAGGTCCAACTGTTGAAAATCAAAATCTCTAAAACATAAGACACCTTATAATAAATCTGTCAATTCCCTGGAAGTTTCTCACTCACAGGCTTAGGCTCTGCTCTTATTTGGCAATTATGCAAAAGTGAGCATCTTTTTACTTGCCACATCTGCTCCTCATCTATATCTCAATTCATACCCCTGCAGTTTCATAATTCTTTTTTTGGGGGTTGTTCTTTGTTTGGCTGGTTTTGTGGGGTTTTTCTTCTGCATTTTATTCTTGTTAGCCAAAGAGCTAGTCCAGAATTAAAGTATACAGTGGAAGTAAATGAGTAGTTAGTATGAATTGACTAGCGCTACTTAATGGCAGTTGACGACTCCATTATTTAAAAATAAGAGCGTTTATTTCAAATTCAGATTATGTTGCTTCTATTGCAACATGCGTTTACTTACACATCAAAATGACAGTTCCAATTTCAGATATCATAATTAACAGCCAAAGAGGCTTGTGAAATGAGTACTAAGAGTTCCACAATGTTCCACAATACTTAGAGCTTACTTTCAAGTTTGCTATCTATCTACCCTAAGTCATATGAAGATTCAAGCCTAGGTACACCCAAACAAGCAGGGCATAATACAAAAATAGTAAGAGCCCAGGACTTGATTTCAAGATAGTAAGTTTGTCCACATGTAACTGGGAACTCAGTCAGGATTTTTAATATCTATATCGATGTATGAAAAGGAGAAGAAAAAAAAAAATGATCAAAAAAACCACAAAAGCAACCCAAGTCACATCCAGAGACTGCAAGATTGATAATTACAAGTATCTTACAAAATGAGTTTTTCCCTTCAGCAAATTATTATGAAACAGTAAACCTGAAACTTTTTGCTATCATATTAGATAAATTTCCAAGTTTAATTTAGGCTACAATACCTACTCTTTAAAGCCCTGAAGTGAAAAAAAAAACCCAAACAACAAAACAACAACAAAAAAAGCAGGAACTGTAATCAGGTGTTTCCTTTCATAAAATAAACTAAGTAAAAGAAAAATAATAATAAATGCCACAATACTTCATAATTTTAAAAATTATACCTTGAATACCTTACTAATTTTACTGAGACATGCGCCACAAATTACTTAACTCT